TACAATGGTTCGTCGTTTAGAAATCAAATATCTCCAAAACCGTATTATTACTGGAGACGGTCGTAGATGCGCTGTGAATGATGTCCGTAACAACCATTTACATCACGAAAACGTGCCCCAGAAGGCGAGATTAAAAAAAAATCCATATAGTTGGTGGTCTAATTTGAATATCACATGGTAAAAAGGCAATTATTAATGAGCAATGGATTGTGGGTACTGCATGTATTAGTTCTTTTCTTGGAAAAATAATTTACCTCGTATTTTGCAGACGCTAGTCACAGACTATTTTAGAATAAGAAAAGTGCCGTCGCTTATAATTATGCAAACACACATAGTGTACTAGTGCGCATGCGCTCAATTCCCATCATAGAAAAAAGTTATGACGTGTCGCAAACATACATCTTTCTACGCATGAATTCAGACGTTGTATACATGATGACTTTAAAAATAAATTACAATATACCAGAGATTTGCATGGGTTGTCATGGTGAAATATTAAAACAGTTAAAATAACTAACAGATAAATCACAACATGATATTTTAGCAGAACAACTTCCTGAGAAATAAGCTCAAAATTGGTATAGTAAAAAAATGCAGTTTTTGAAGGCTTCGGGAAAACAAGTTGCCCGCACATGTCAAATAAACTGTAAAGATTTAACAACTACAATGTAAGATGATGGTATCAAAATGTTTAAATAAATCGTCAAATAACTCCAAGAAATTATTTGTTAAAGAAGAAACCAAATTGGTTTTATGTAATATCAGTCGCAGATGATAAGCGTCACTGAAACACAATCCCCTTTCATGTATCTGGCAGTATGTAAAACATTGACAAATGTGATGTGTTTCATGACAGGTATTTCTCAGCCAGTTTGATACATTGCGTTAACATTCTCAATCTGAGTCGGCATCTTGTGTTGGGGGTGACGTCAGTAAGAAGATACAGCATACATTATCAGTTCCTGTTACGAACATAGCATAATCCATGTCCGTAAATATGTGCAACATAATCCATATCCGATGTTATGAGAGATTTAGTTCATACGTGGTGTTATGTGCAACATAATTAATATCCGGATGTTCGAACATAACGTATATCCGGCGTAATGTGAAACATTGTGTTAAATACAACAAACGTCATATCGGGTGTTATGTGCAACAAGTTTCATACAAGGAGTCTTCTTCGGGAAACAACGAATATGATGGCACTGAAAAAAGAATGGCCAGAGTTCCAATTCCGCAAGCAACGGAAAAAAAGACAAGCAAAATTCTGTCGAACACAATGGCTACAAATTTCCATTCTTCTGCAATCTGCGAAAAAATTGAAATAGTACATGGCATGAGAATGAGAGTTGGGAAATCGTTGGGAAATTAAATATATCACGCACTGAAATAAACATATTTAATACACATAGTTCAGTAATGTAGTGTTAAGCTATCTCTTGCAATTGTTCCATTCAAAGTCACTAAGAAACGACTGCAATGTCAGTATAAGACCATAAGCAAGGTTATGGAGGTATGGTAATTCAAATAATACTAACTGACTGTCGACTGAGCAGGTTTATGGAGGTGTGGCTATTCAAATCACGCTAACTGACTGTCGACTGAGCAGGTTTATGGAGGTGTGGCTATTTAAATCATGCTAACTGACTGTCGACTGAGCAGGTTTATGGAAGTGTGGCTATTCAAATCTTCCTAACTGACTGTCGACTGAGCAGGTTTATGGAGGTGTGGCTATTCAAATCACGCTAACTGACTGTCGACTGAGCAGGTTTATGGAGGTGTGGCTATTCAAATCTTTCTAACTGACTGTCGACTGAGCAGGTTTATGGAGGTGTTGCTATTCAAATCATGCTAACTGACTGTCGACTGAGAAGGTTTATGGAGGTCTGGCTATTCAAATCATGCTAACTGACTGTCGACTGAGCAGGTTTATGAAGGTGTGGCTATTCAAATCATGCTAACTGACTGTCGACTAAGCAGGTTTATGGAGGTGTGGCTATTCAAATCTTCCTAACTGACTGTCGACTAAGCAGGTTTATGGAGGTGTGGCTATTCAAATCTTCTTAACTGACTGTCGACTGAGCAGGTTTATGGAGGTGTGGCTATTCAAATCTTCCTAACTGACTGTCGAGTGAGCAGGTTTATGGAGTTGTGGCTATTCAAATCTTCCTAACTGACTGTCGACTGAGCAGGTTTATGGAGGTGTGGCCATTCAAATCATGCTGACTGTCGACTGAGCAGGTTTATGGAGGTATGGCTATTCAAATCACGCTAACTGACTGTCGACTGAGCAGGTTTATGGAGGTGTGGCTATTCAAATCTTCCTAACTGACTGTAGACTTAGCAGGTTTATGGAGGTGTGGCTATTCAAATCATGCTAACTGACTGTCGACTGAGCAGGTTTATGGAGGTGTGGCTATTCAAATCATGCTAACTGACTGTCGACTGAGCAGGTTTATGGAGGTGTGGCTATTCAAATCTT